GTTCCGTGCCAAGCACCATGTTCCACAGTCACCTACATATCCGGAGACTCCAGTGGCACAGTGGGTTAAACCCCTGTGCTGGCAGGACTGAAGACTGATAGATCGCAGGTTCGAATCCGGGGAGAGTGTGGATGAACTCCCTCTATCAGCTCCAGCTCCTCGTGTGGAGACATGAGAGAAGTCTCCCACCAGGATGATTTAAAAAAAAACATCAAAACATCCGGACGTCCCCTAGGCAACGTCCTTGCAGACGGCCAATTCTCTCATAACAGTAGCGACTTGTAGTTTCTCAAGTTGCTCCTGACATGACAAAAAGAAAAACCCTATCTATCCACCGCCTAGGCACTACACTTGGAAAACCATCATACTTGGACAACAAGGAATCGCCTAAGTAAATGAAGTCCACCTGAATCTATTGGAACAAGGTATATCTGTTGCTTCAATGCAACCATGGCAGCTACATATAGCAGATTTCATGCACTGCCCCATCCCAGAAACACTCACCCAAGCCCTACCCTTCTTCCTTCTTCTGCTTATACCACAAGCAGTTGATTTAAAATGCCTCCTGAGGTCCCATATCACATTTACTTTCTTCTGAGTCACCTTGACCTTCTGATCTGTGGCTGAACAGTTGAAGGCTAGCATTCTTCCAGAGAAAGAAAAATGTTAATCCCACATCCTGCTTTCATGTCATGAGCACCCATGTTTTGGCTTGCCTACAGCTTCACCCACACATATCCAGTCTGAGGCATCTGCTGGATCCCAAGCAGAGCCACACCTCAAGTACAAAAGCCTTGCAAGTTGCATTGCCCATAGGGAAAAAGTTGTTTTCCTTTGTATCAGTTGCCTCCGCTTAGGGAATCATACTACCTTTTGGCTCCTACTTCACTCTTATCTTGTTCCTAATCATGAGGGGCTTTAACCCAATGTCTTGAAGAGGAAAAAAGAATAAAAACTAATACATGGGATACCTAATCTCCCCAACCATGACAGCCATTGGCCATACCAGTTTGAGGTAGTCCACTGAGTTTTAGTCACCAAAGTAACTTTTCTAAGCGCTAGTGAAAAAAAATATAAGCTAACAAATACCTTTCTTACCTTTTACATCTGGGCCAGAACAGAATCTCAACAGTATGTTGCTTTAACTGAACCAATAGGGCTCTTCCAAAGTTGTTTTGTTGTTTTGCATGAAAGAGGTTTTGGACAACTTTGACCCAAACATCTGTGACTTCATTATCAGACATTAAGAGGCCAGCAGTAGAGAAGGGAGGGATAAAACAGGAGCATCAGGACTAGTGAGGCTTCAAAATAGATATTATTATTTTTTTCTTTCTGGCTCTCCTATAGTCTTTGTTTTCACTAAGAAACCAATGCAGATGGAAAATTCCCTCCTGAATGTCCCTTGAGAGAGAGAGAGAGAGAGAGAGAGAGAGAGAACACAGTGGAACTGCCAATCCACATCACATCCTGGCTAGCTGTCCATTTGCATCTCATTGACCTGAAATTATTTTGCCTGAAGAACTAGATGTTATTTAAGAGGCCTCCCATTCCAGCTAGAAACTACCAGTGAAGCCAGTTGAATCAATCTTTGTGACCCTGTGGTCTTATCTTCTGATACACAACTAGTCAATGAACAAAGGTTTGGAAGGGGGAAGTATACTTTAAAGCAAGTCTGGGCAAACTTGCCCCCCCCAGGTGTTTTGGACTTCAACTCCCACAATTCCTAACAGCCTCAGGCCCTTTCCTTTTCCTTAAGCGGCTGAGGGGCCTGAGGAATTGTGGGAGTCCAAAACACCTGGAGGGAGGGCCCAAGTTTGCCCATGCCTGCTTTAAAGCAAGTTTTAAGGCTACATTACTTTGAGTCAGAGACCAATTGCACAGCTCATTCCTCTGTGTATTTTAGATTCAAACTCTATTCCTTACGACACTTTCTGTGCATGGCACCCAACACCCAACTGGACAATTATGTTTCCCCACTCCTTCTATAAAACCAACATAAATAGACCCCTTTTTTAAAGTGATGGAAGTCCCATGTGGAGGGGGTTCCCAAGCCTTCCCTTTCCAAAGAGAAACTCTTTTTGAGACCCTTGAGGGAAGACTGACTAGTACACTATGTAGCAAAATTTGAAAAAAAAAGTTCTGTTTTGAAAGTGTTATTTCTTGTTTAATTATGTTCTACTTACTTTGAAAGTAGTTGTTCTACTCCATAAACTTTGTTTTTGTGGCTGCCACAAACTATGGTTGAATTAGTTGAGGCTTGATGAGATATTCATTGAAACCCAACCAGACTAAGGCAGGACTTTCCGGCCTCTCTTTCTCTCCACGTTCCCAGTAGGGTGCATAGTTCATCTTTTCTTTTGTGACAAAGTTTGTCTAACTCTTAACTTTGAAAAACTATAGCAAAATGTGCTGCAGGATGTCCTGCAGAAACAAAGTTTTTCCAGTTTAATAAACTTTCCCATGTTTTTATGATAGAACCAAATAGGAAATGACATTGAGTTGTTGTAGGTTTTTCGGATATATGGCTATGTTCTAGAGGCATTCTCTCCTGACGTTTTGCCTGCATCTATGGCAAGCATCCTCAGAAGTAGTGAGGTGACATTTATAATCCAGGAACAGAAATTGTGTTACATAGTGGTGTTAGGGACCTTGACCTAGGGACCTCTCTCCTGCCCCATTTGGCTAGTGAGTGGCTTCGACATCCCAGCAGCCATGACAAAACTGTTTGAAGAAAAGGCCAAACAGGCTCCTCTATGACAGACAATAGGAGCGCTTATTCCAATATACAGAAATTATACAGTGGACTTTCTGGCACCCTTGTGATTGGACGATGATGGATGTTTGTTTTTGGTTACTTGAGAGCTATTACAAATAGGCTGAAGTAATACTATACATATTCATATTATATGGTTATATACCAGGCATGGACTAACTTGGGTCCTTCCTCTAGGTGTTTTGGACTTCAACTCCCACCATTCCTAACAGCCTCAGGTCCCTTCCTTTTCCCTCTTGGTCGCTTAAGCAGAAAGGGAAGGGATCTGGGGCTGTTAGGAATTGTCCAAAACACCTAGTGGGAGAGCCCAAGTTTGCTCATGCCTGGTGTGTAACCATATAGTATTACTTAGGCCTATTTTTACAGTAACTCTCACGTCCAAAACACCTGGAGGGAAGGTCCAGGTTTGTCCATGCCTGTTATACACTCTGTATTGACGTAATATTAATGAAATATTAATGTGTTTTTTTATTTACATCTCTACCCTTTATAAGCAAAAGAAGTACAACTTAACATAATGTAACAGTTTCACAACGTAGTTGTTGTAGTTTTTTTCATGGCCATATCACCCGAAAAAACCTACAACAACCCAGTGATTCCGCCCATGACAATACAGTTTCAAAACTTTTTTTTAAAATATATTCGGTTTTTAGTCGGTTGCTTGAGAGTTCTGGTTAACTGAGAGTCTACCTCATTTAAGTGGTTCTCAACTTGTGGGTCCCCAGGTGTTTTGGCTTACAACTCCCAGAAATGCCACCCAGTTTACCAGCTGTTAGGATTTCTGGGAGTTGAAGGCCAAAACATCTGGGGACCCACAAGTTGAGAAGTACTGATTAGACGAACTCTGTCGCAAAAGGGAGAGACGCACCAAGCGCCCCAAATGGGAACGTGGAAGAAGAAGAGAAGCTGGAAAGGCAAACAAACAGTGTGGGTAAGTCCGCCTGTCCCGCCTCAGTCTGGTTGGGTTTCAGTTACCGGCAGAGAAGGGCTTGTTCTGGGAAAGCGAACCAAGAAGGGCAGGAAGTGCGGCTGTGAACGTGTGAAGGGGGCGGCCTGCCTGGCTTGGAGGGTGTGGGTCTGCGGAGACGGGGGCATTCCCAGCCCCGAGGCCCTCTCGCGCACGCTCCCTCCCTCCCTCCTTTCTTTGGCTGGAAATGGACCCGGTCCCGAGGCCTCTGCCTGGCAACGTGGGCGGGGGTTCCCGGAATGGAGCCCGACCGGCTCGAACAACGTCACCGGGCAGAAACTGACCATATATGGCCTTCTTCCTCTGCGTCAGCGCGGAAAGCCCCCTCCTTCCTGCGCCGGAGGCCCCGCCCACTGGAGCTGCTGAAGTCAGAGCTGGCGAGATCAAGGAAGTGAGGCTCCGGCGCGTGGGAGGACGGCCCTCGGGGGCTTTTGGCGCGCGCAAAGGGAGGGGGCCCCCCGCCCCTCCCTCGTGAGAGACAGAGCTCACGCGGGCTCTCGAAGCGCATCAAAGCTCCGAGTTTGACATCAAAAGGAAAAACTCAGGGTGGGGGGAAGGAGGGGGGGGGGAGAGAAAGATCTCAGCACCAAAAAAAACCCCCTCTGAAATATGACGTGAGGCAAAGCGAGGCACGCAGGCAAAGAAAGCTCAGATCTCATCGATTAGGAGGGAGACAAGGCAGAGAAGGTTAAGAAGCCTCCATGGATCCACCAGGAAGCAAAGGCAGGAAAGCACCCAAGCAGCAGAGCTATTAAGTTTGTTGCCCAACAGTTAATGGAGATCCAGGCCTCTTTGTATTGTTTTTAGTAGGACTGTGAGCTGCTTTGGGTCTCTGTTAGGATTGTTGTTGTTTATCCCACTCTCTAAAGAGAGACTCAAAGAGGTTACTGCTAAAGGCAATACAACTTAGAGCAGACCTGGGTCAACTTGGCCCTCTTAGTGTTTTGGACTCCAACTCCCACCATTCCTAACAGCCTCAGGCTCCTTCCTTTTCCCCCTCAGCCGCTTAAGCGGCTGAGGGGGGAAAGAAAAGGGCCTGAGACTGTTAGGAATGGTGGGAGTTGGAGTACAAAACACCAGGAGATCCCAAGCTAGCCCATACCTGACTTAGACTGACTAGAAACACATAAATATAATAACAACAAAATGGAAACCAGAATGGCTTTTCCTAAACCAAAACTGATGGAACTCACTTTGAGGAAGTTTCCCACCCACCAAAAGCCCCATTTTGTCTCCAATTAAAAGAAATACGCAGATAAATAAAGTAGTTAGAACATGTTTACTTAAATAGGTTCAATAAAAATTCCAAAACACAAATACAATCACTTTCAGGGGAAGGGGGGGAAATGAATGTGAGGACTTCGAAGAACTAATAAGAGCACAAGTAGTAAACAACCCCCTCCTCCCTCGCAGGGGCTCCACAGGGGGGGCCCCTTTCTCTCTCTCTAGTCCATAAGTCAAAAGGAGGAGGAAGAGGGCGGAAGTGCAGCCGGGCCCCTCTTCTTCTCTGGTCCCTCTGGGCTTTGGGGATAAATAGAGCGTCCCTTTTGTTCCTACTGGCAGGGCAAGGAGGTCAGGCAGGCAGGCAGGCAGGCGGCCCCGGTCCGTCCATCCGCCCTTCCCTTTCCGCCGCACCATCCAGCAATGCGGGCGGAGGAAGGCTTCCTTGTCTTTTTGTCTCGTCTTAAATACAAACACACAATTGCACTCTCACATACAGCGATTTTAGAAAAAGAACTCGTACACACTCAGCACAGGTCGGCTTCTGGATCCACCAGATTGAGAGTCACGGACATGGGGGGAGGGGAGGAGGAGGAGGACTTCCCCCCTCCGTCCCTTTGTAAACTTTTGGCATGAGAGTCCCTTCTCTTCTCTCTCTCGCTCTCTGTCTCTGCCTCCATCATCTCTCAGAAGGACTGCTGCATCTTGGCAGTAAGGAGGAGCTGGCACCCACTGTTGACGTGGCTGAGGACCTTCTGCTTGAGCTGGGCCACCTGGTCGCGCAGGGCACTGGCAGCACTGGAGAGGCCGGCGTTGTCACTCTTGAGGCTCTTGACCTTCTCCTCCAGGCGGGCGATGCGCTCCAGCTTCCTCTTGCGGCACTTGGTGGCCGCCAGCCGGTTCCGCAGGCGCTTCCGCTCCACCTTGATGCGCTCCTGGTCCTCCATGTTGATGGGTGACACAGGTGGGCTCTGCTGCACGTCGGGCACCGTCTGTGGCTCCTCCTTGAAGCCCCGCCCGGGGGCGACGGCAGCGTGGGGGTGGTGGGCGTGCGGGTGGTGGGCGTGGGGGTGGTGCCCGCCCAGGCTCAGGTGCTGCGGCAGGTAGCTCAGGTTGGCGCTGGGGAAGCCCGGCGAGCCGCTCAGGGCGGGCGGGTTGTAGCTGGTCAGGTTGGTGTAGATGGGGGGCGGCTCCTGCGGGAGCGAGGAGGCCCCGTACCCGCTGCTCGCCGTCGAGGAGGCCACGGATGCCGCCGCCGCTGCCGCCGCTGCCGCCCCGAGGGAGACATTGGGCGGCGGGAGGTGGTTCATCTTGTGGAGGTCGTCCAGGGCCTTGACGAAGCCGTCGGCGAAGCCCTCCTGCTCCTCGGTGGCGCCGCGCGGGTAGAAGTACTGTCCGGGCGGCGTGGGGGTGGTGGCGATGACGCCGCTGCTGCTCCCGTTCTGGACGATGAGGCGCTCCAGCTCCGGCGCGGCCAGCTTGAGCGAGTTGACGGCGTTGGCGCCCTCCGAGGGCGGGTGCGGGGGCAGGCCGGCCGGGAAGAAGTCCTCCTGGGCGCGGAGCTGCGGGTGCTGGGCCGGCGGGTGGTGCGCCAGCGGCGCCTTGAGCCCTCGGAACGACGACGAGGAGGGCTCCGCGGAGAGGTTCAGCGCCATGCCCGACGCCTTCAGCGCCTTGTAGTCCTGGCTGTAGCCGGAGAGAAAGGAGTCAGGGTAGAAAGGCTGCTCCATCTTCGTGCACATCAGAGAAGGGCAGGCAGGCAGGGAGGGCGGAAGGAAGGAAGGGAGGGCAGGAAAGAAGGAAGTGGGGCGCGCTCGCTCGCTGGCTCGCCTGCCTTCCTTCCTTCCTTTCTTTCTTTCTTTCTTTCTTGCTGGCTTCCCTCCCTCCGGGCCTGGCTTGGGGCGTGGGTCGCGCTTCGGCTCCCGAGACCGCTTCCGCTGGCTTGCTTCCTTGCCTGCGTCCCTCCCCAGTCTTTCCGGCGGCTTCCACCCGTTCGTCCCCACTGGCAAAAAGAAGCTAAAAGGAGCAGGTACCGTACCGGCCACAGAAGAAGAAGAAGAAGCGGGAAGTGGTGGTGGAGGCTGTTGTTGCCGCTGCGCTTGCTGGGGTTTGGGTGCCGCCCGGCGCCGCGAGTGAGTATTCTGAGCTCCAGCGTGCGCTTCCCGGTCCATTTTATACCGGCCGCGCGCGCGGCGGTGCCGGAAGCGCGCCCTGATTGGCCGCGGCGCCCGCGAGTGTCTCCGCCCCTCCCACGGCGGAGAAGGAGAGGGCGGGGTGGGCGCTGAGCTCATTGCTCGGCAGCTCGTGCTCCAGTAAACAGCCCGCGGGAGGGGGAGTTGTAAGGGAGCCGCGCGTCAGAGGGAGCGGGCATGGGCGGGGGAGGGGAGAGGGACGCACGCACGCACGCAGGCACGCAGCCCAGGGAGGGAGGGAGGGAAGGAGGGGGCGTGCCCACGCTCAGCCGGGACGCGGGTTGGAACGTCCGTAGGGTGCTCTCGTTTGCATGTTTTCCCCATTGGGAGAGTGACGTCGTGGGCTGAGCGTTGGACCGGGACTCGGGGGAGCAGGGGTCGAATCCCCTCGCTGCGTGATCTTAGGGAGGCCAATTTCACCCTCTCAGGGCCCCTTCCCACCCAGATATCTTCTTTGATGTCTTGCCGAAGGCTTAACATGGCCAGAATCACTGGGTTGTTGTGTGTTTTCCAGGCTGTATGGCCATGTTCTAGAAGCATTCTCTCCTGACGTTTCCCCTGCATCAGAGGCTGTGAGGTCTGTTTGAACTGGGTTATCTGAGTCCAAACTGTTCAATGTGGGTTTGTTCAATGTGGAACAAATCAAGAACTTTGGCCCAAAAGCAAGGCGCTGGCTGCTGGAGCTGATGAACAACTGCACGGCATCCCGTCAGATCCCCAAACTCTGGAGGAAAGCAAGAGACTCATCGCCATCTTGAAGCCAGGCAAAGACCGCAATGACCCAAAAAGCTACAGACCAATCTCCCTGCTGTGCCACCTCTACAAAGTTCTGGAGAGACTTATTTTGCATAGAATTATGGAAAAAATAGACCCCTGTCTGATTCCACAGCAAGCTGGCTTCAGGAAAGGCAAAAGCTGCACATCGCAAGTGCTGAACCTGACTCAGCACATAGAAGATGGCTTTGAAAGGCAGCAGATCACAGGAGCTGTCTTCATAGACCTGTCAGCGGCTTATGATACTGTGAACCACCGCCTCCTCCTGAGAAAAATGTATAATATCACAAAGGACTACCTCACCCGCCTCATAGGAAACCTGCTACAAAACAGGAGCTTCTTTGTTGAGTTCCAGGGCCAGAGAAGCAGATGGCGGAAACAGAAGAACGGCCTGCCTCAGGGGAGCGTGCTTGCCCCATCCATGTTCAACATCTACACAAATGACCAGCCACTGCCAGAAGAGACAGAGAGCTTCATCTATGCTGATGATCGTGCCATTACTGCTCAAGCAGGGAGCTTTGAGATGGTTGAACAGAAGCTCCGAAGCTCTAGGTGCTCTTACTGCCTATTACAGGGAAAACCAGCTGCTCCCCAACCCATCTAAAACACAGACATGTGCCTTTCATTTCAAGAACAGAGAAGCATCCCGAGCTCTGAGGATTACCTGGGAAGGAATCCCACTGGAGCATTGCAGTGCACCCAAATACCTGGGAGTCACTCTGGACCGTGCTCTGACCTACAAGAAGCACTGCCTGAACATCAAGCAAAAAGTGGGCGCTAGAAACAATATCATACGAAAGCTGACTGGCACAACCTGGGGATCACAACCAGACACAGTGAAGACATCTGCCCTTGTGCTATGCTACTCTGCTTGAGTGTGGAACACATCTCACCACACTAAAACAGTGGATGTGGCTCTTAATGAGACATGCCGCATTATCACGGGGTGTCTGCGCCCTCCACCACTGGAGAAATTACACTGCTTAGCCGGTATTGCACCACCTGACATCCGCCAGGAAGTAGCAGCCAATAGTGAAAGGACCAAGGCAGTGACATCTCCAGCTCATCCCTTGTTTGGGTATCAGCCAGCACATCAACGATTTAAATCAAGAAATAGTTTTCTAAGATCTACAGAGACACTCGCTGGAACACCCCAGCAAGCGAGAGTCCAAAAGTGGCAGGCTCAAACCCAGAACCTCAATCAATGGCTGATACCAAATGAGAGACTCCCCCCTGGGCACACAGAAAACTGGGCGACTTGGAAGGCGCTGAACAGACTGCGCTCTGGCACCACGAGATGCAGAGCCAATCTTAAGAAATGGTGCTACAAAGTGGAATCCACGACATGCGAGTGTGGAGAAGAGCAAACTACAGACCACCTGCTGCAATGCAACCTGAGCCCTGCCAAATGCACAATGGAGGACCTTCTTGCAGCAACACCAGAGGCACTCCAAGTGGCCAGATACTGGTCAAAGAACATTTAATCAACTACCAAGCTGGCAAATTCTGTGTTTTGTCTGTTTGTTTGTTTGTTTTTGTTAAAAATGCAATACAAATGTCTGGTTGCTGATGACACGATAAATAAAAGGTGGATTTTATGCAACTGTGTGGAAGGGGCCTCCATATGTCATCGTAAAGGCACGCAAGAACAACAAAAGCTCCATTGGACTCAAGGCCCTTTCAGACAGGCCCAGTATCCCAGGATCTGATCCCAGGTTTTCTGATTTAAACTGGATTATATAAGTCCGCATTGCCAGATAATCTGAGATAAACAGAAAACCTGGGAGCAGATCTTGGGATATAGGGCCTGTCTAGAAGGGCTCCAAGTGGGATGTTGATACTAATGGCCACATTTTTGTCTATAGATATAAGTCTCTGGCCTTTTGGGGGCTTAAAATATATTATAATTATATATTTTATGTTACATGTAATATTACTAATAATATTACAATATAATGGAATAGTACAATATAGTAATATTTAATACTGAGATTGTGCTATGCTAATAATAAAATATATTATTATATTATACAATATATATTATACAATATAATATATTGTATGTGTGTGTATATATATCTTGTAAGCTGCTCTGAGTCTCCTTCGGGGTGAGAAGGGCAGCATGTAAATGTCATAAATAAATAAATAAATAAAATTTGTTTTTACCACATCAGTCCTTTCCATCTCCTGCCTCGGATTGGAGCCAAAAGATTTCCCTGGGATGTAGATTAATACAGTTTGACACACCACTTTAACTGCCATGGCTCAATGCTATAGAATTATGGGGGATGCAGTTTGGAGAAGAGGCTACAGGTCTTGTGAAACTACAACTCCCAGGATTTTATAGCATGGAGCCATGGCAGTTAAAGCAGTGTCAAACTGCATTGATTCTAAGTGTACATGCAACCCCAGACAGGGCCCTTCCACACAGCCCTATATCCCAGAAAATCCCACATTATCTGTGTGTGGACTCAGACAACCCAGTTCAAAGTATATCTTTGTGGGATTTTCTGCCTTGATGTCCTGGGATACAGGGCTTTGTGGAAGGGCCCTTAGTGTGCTGGGTGGCCTTTGGCGGGGCCGCCTCAGCCGAGAAAGCACACCTTTGCCTTCTCAGAGTTACTGTGACTGGGGATGAAATCCAGTAATGCCCAGTAAACTGCTAGACCACTTTGGACTATTGGAGGGAAGTGTGTCCTATGGAGGTGTTTCCCTTCAGAACTGTAGGTGCAGGCGAGTTTCACTCTCCAGGCACCCAAAGCCCCGCCTGGATCTGTTGCCTCGGAAGAACTCCCAGCCTTTCCAAATCCCAAGGGAAGCTGTCCTGTGGAAGAACTTATTTTTGGTTTTGTATCTGAACACGTATATGGTGATTCTTAGCAATGCCTCCTTATAGAAATATGAAACAATCACTAACATACAGATGGGAACTTGTAGTTCTCCAGATTTTGTTGGACTGCAACTCCCATCTGCCTAGCGAGCATAGCCAATGTCAAGAGAGGATGTGCACGTAGTTGCTGCCGTTGGTTGCTTTTCCCTTCGGTGCTTAGTATGGATGGTTTTGTGTGTGTTCCTGCTTCTTCTATAGCAGGCCTGGGCAAACAGATGGTAGGCTGTTAGGATTTGTGAGAGTCAAAGGCCAAAACATCTGGAGGGCCAAATTTGCCCATGTCTGTTCTATAATGATTAGGATGTGGGAGGATGGGTGTTTTGTTTTTGTAATTCTACATATATAATGTGTATTGGGGATGGCATTTAATTTAGTTGTATGAAATGTCTTGTCCTACATTGACAGAATACAAACCTAATACATGATGTACACCCAGACTCTAGAATTGGTACACATAAGTCAACAAAATGCTAAGCAGCAAAGGAACCCCTTGATAGAAGTTTCTCTATGGATGCACGTACAGAACACTCACATATCAAATGCAAGGAAATAGTATACAGTACACAAACACACACCCCTTTAAAATCATAATCCAAAGACAAAGTTACACCAAGCATGTTCAAAGTAAACACAGCATTGAGCTATGGCAGTTTTAAAGTGAGGCCGGACTACATTAATTCCACTGTGTAGATGCACCCCAAGGGCCACAACATACAAGAAATCCAAAGTCCTCAACCCCTATTTCTATTTTTATTATTTGGTACATAGTAGGAGCAGTGGTGGCACAATGGGCTAAACCCTTGTGGCAGCTGAACTGCTGACCTGAAGGTCGACGTTTCAAATCCGTAAGACAGGCTGAGCTCCTGTCAGTCAGCTCCAGCTTCCCATATGGGGGCATGAGATAAGCCTCCCAGAGGATAGTAACACATCCAGCAACATCTCTGCAGACAGCCATTTCTTTCACACCAGAAGCGACTTGCAGTTTCTCAAGTTGCTTCTAACATGATTTTAAAAAGTCTGGTACACCATCAAGTTTAATACTTCAAAAAATGCCCTGCCCATGAGGGTCCTCTCTGGTAAATTCTATTGGCATGGAAGGAATAAAAAGAAAATGGGTGAAATAGATGGAGGAGGCAAGAGGAATAAATGTGTGCACCATTACACCTCATTAGGTTATGCTTGGCAACTCAAGGGTTAAGCTACAGGCTTTGAGCAAAATGTGAGTTTTGAGGAGACCACACAAATGCATACATCTAAAAACTCTGATATACAGGGAGATATACTCGACCCAACCCATGCGCCACAGCTAGAAGTGCAAGCAGCAAAGTAATAATCAAGCCCGGTGGCCCAGCTTTGGGTAGGTCTCGTCTACAAACAAGGGTATATAATACAGATAATTCTCTGTTTTGTTCCCTGGTGTGTACAGATGCTTGTGT